ACATTTTGGACTGTAAAATCTGTCATGTCCCACTATAAAGGAAAATAAAGAAGCCCCTTTGAGCATAAATGCTAACCACATTCTGCTATTTTCCAATCCAACCTGGATTAAGAGTGAATTTCTTTCCTATAAGATTTTTTTGCTATACATTTTGTTTTAGGAAATAAGCAGTGGACCATAAATATTTATATGCAGAGTATTTGTAAACGTAAGTTAGCTTTTTGAGATCAGCCAAGTGCTGATTAAGTGCATCCATCTAACTCGTGTTCAATTCTTAATATAGGTAGACAAATATTTATTGGTATGTCAGAGACTTGACTGATAACTCCCATGACTGGAAGTAGTAACTGAATAATACAATTCGTTTAAGAGGAACAGAATTAATATAAAGATTCAAGGACCACACTGGGATTAAAAGAACTAAAGCTAATATAATGCATCTATTCAAAATGAAGAGAACTGCTCAGTGAAAATGGCAACATGGTAACCAGGAGCAAGTAAAGGATACTTCACTTAGATTCCTGCACAGAGATGGCAGGTTGGACTCGGTCTGAATGGCTCCTCCAATTGTATATGACACAGCCTGTCCTGGTCCTTCTAGAACAGGCTAATACATCCAGTACTGTGGTGCATATTCTCTTGAAAAAAAAAACACCTGAGGACTTCCAGGAGAGTAACAGCAGATCAAAGATGGCTCCATTTTCACAGAGCCGACGACTGCAGCAGTTAAGAGGAGTTGGCGAAAAGCCTGGCTCTTCAGAACCACCTCCAGACAAAGAAGATGACTGGGTCACCCAAAAGTACTCCTTACAGAGGTTCCTTGTGAAGAAATTGCAATTTAGCAATCTCCAGTGGAATGAGTGCTCTGGGAGTCACAGGAAACATTGAGCCCAGGCCACGGTTCGGAGCCTCTAAAGAGACATTAGATTTGCTTTCACTTCCTCTTTTAATTAAATCAGAATTTACTTATTAGCGATTTACTTGGAAATTAAAAACCTTCTGAAAGGCAAGCTGCTGTACACCGAAAGAATTTCCTTCTATCCTGGGAGAAAGAAGATTTAAATAAGTTTAAAGAGTAAAAAGAAATATTTTAACTTTTGGAAAACAGCGAAAGGGAGTTAAGAATGTTGGCTGTGGACAGTTAAGGGGCCAGATAGATTTGAAAGAATAATTTTTTAATGGGCTGTTTTAAATTTTATAAAAATAAAGCAGATGATTTTGGAATTAACTGTAAGAAAACTTATTGTGGGAAAGTTTTGGCTCTGAAAATAAACAAAATTTTATAAAAATAAAGCAGATGATTTTGGAATTAACTGTAAGAAAACTTATTGTGGGAAAGTTTTGGCTCTGAAAATAAACAAAAAATAAGACTGGGCTTTGAAGGTTAACTAGAGGGAACCAGAGAGCAATTAAAGGAAAAGATATTTCTTAATGTAATGGATGAACATTGTTTTACTATAGAGTAATTTAAATCTGTTTGGGAACAATGTGTTCAGGACTTATTTTTAACATTGGATCTAATAGAGGATATAGAAGAAGAAAAGATTCTACTGAATAAAACAGAAGCTGCGGATGATTTGAATAGGGATTTTAAAATGGACTTTAAAGAATTGCCAGACTATAAGAGAGATATGGAAGATATGGAAAAAGATGTTGTGGATTTGAAAATGGACTTAAAATGTTTGACTACAAGAGTGACATGAGAAAGAATTTGTAATGGATATACAAACTATGCTGGCTGATGTTTTAACAATTATTGGGCTATCCTGATTATAAATCAGAAGAGTGACTTGGAGAGTTATCTTATTTTGGATCCACAGAAG